TCTTTGATAGATTTTTTAGGCAGAGTATTCGTGATGAAACTTTGTTGGATGGACGGCCATTCTACAAAATTTCATCAAATATTTATCTACATTTCAATTTTTGAATTTTCTATATCGGCGTATCAAGGTGCTCTCAAAACTTGCTGCACATATTTACTTGAAACTTGACTAGAACATGCAAATGACTGCTCAAAACAAGACGTGCAAATTGTTTTTGTTGGTAATGTTTGCCATGAAATATCAAATATAAATCACTAGCTTTAATGCAATTATTAATGACATTTGTTTAAAAATCATGATGTAAATGAAAAATGTAGGGACGGAGGTTTACAGGGAGCAGAAATATTTGAGGAAAAGTTAGAAAGGATTGTTTTTAAACACCACAAAAACTGAAGGAGCTGGACTTAGACTCTGCCTAAGGTCTCGTAATCTTTATAAATTATCTTAATTTTCCAAATTAAGCAAGACGACCCAATTATATGCTAGAAAACTTTTAAGCTTTCAAACTCTTATATTGTTAAAGGCGTTCACACCATAATAATTGTGAGAAGTCAGTACTTGCATTTTGTGTGTTTTTCTAGAAAAATTAAGCCTTAAATTATGTAAGTAACCAAGCTATATATTTGAAAAATCCATTAGGTAGCTAAAAATAGTAAATAAATTTAAATCAAAGTTTTAATAAGTTTTTATTTCTTTAATAATTGAGACTATGCAAAATCATAATTCAAAATCCTCGCCAATAATTCGTACTTCCAATAATCGTCTGCCTTTTCGTTAAAGTCCACATAAGAGGGGTTCAATTAGCTTAGAACACCCTTTGACAAGATAAATTAATCTCCTTGTTTCTTTCAAACTGTTAATCTCACTCTAGCATATCAACTGTTAGGCCATTCACTCCCACAACAGTTAACTTTACGTTCTTTTTAGCTTTTCTCTGACCGAACTTCTCTTTCACGTGACTTTACTTTTACTCTGTTTAATCCGCTGGTCTTGTCACAGCTATTTATACGTCTATCACTTAGGCCTTCTAGAAATCACTACAGCCTTGACATCAATGGATTGCAACCACAACTTTCTATAACCTCGACATCAGTGAATTATAAACACAAAATAAATAAATTAATAATACTACCTACACTAAACAGTCTCTCATATCTGACAATAAGCCCCTCTGCAAGAGATATATTTACTTTTTTTCACTATATGCAGATACTATTCTTAGTTCATATTGTTACGTCTCCGTTTTTTAATTGATTTTCCGTAACTTCGTTCCGACGAAACTTTAGCGACACAAGTCCTGTCACATAGACACTGTGTGTGCTTGGCATTTTACACCTAGCTGTTGGGACTTTCATGATGGGGGTTGGCGGGCGTCGCTCAACCACCAATCACTACTGGTCTCCTTGAGGCCGACTTGTTGGTGATATTCTTCCTACACTGGCTCCTCAAATGTCCATGCTTTCCACAGTTCCAACAACCTTTCTGGATACCAGCGTTTCCTGCTGTGGCACCTTCCCTGTGTTGAAGTTTCCAGCATTGAGCTCTCTTGTGCCCAGGTTTATTACAGTGCCAGCAAAGTCCCTCAAACCTCTCTGAAAGCAGACCTTTTCTGGCCTTGAATCCAGGTGACTGTACCAACCTCGGTACCTCTGTGCTGGACTTAACGTAGGATTCAAATTCGAGAGCTTTGGCCATTGCATCCTGCATGGTAGAGGGGTGTGCTTGCTTCACTTGTATCTTAAGTTGTGGACTGTCCAAGGCATCTACGAACTGATCCTTCAGCAACAACTTGAGGAGATCGGGTGGTGCAGTTGGGTAGGCCTTGTGTGCCATGCTTTTCACGTCCTGTGCCAGCTGTTGCAGGCTCTCCCCTTTAGCACGGACTCTCGTCCTGAACCTGGCCCTGTAGACTTCTGACTGATTCTGGGTTCCATACCTGAGTTCCAGAGCCTCTACCAGTGCTCTATAGTTGTGTCTGTCGGCTGCTGTCAACTGTCCAAGTATTTCCAA